ACCTAAACCCTATTGAGCATCTGTGGGACATCCTCAAACGGAAGCTGGGGGAGTGCAAGGTCTCTAACATCTACCTGCTCAGTGATGTCTTCATGGAGGAGTGAAAGAGGACTCCAGTGGCTACCTGTGAAGCTCTGGTGAACTACATGCCTATGAGGGTTAAGGCAGTGCTGGAAAATAATGGTGACCACACAAAATATTGGCACTTTGGGCCCAATTTGGATATTTCAACTTAGGGGTGTAATCACTCTTGTTGCCAACAGTTTAGACATTAATGGCTGTGTGCTGAGTTATTTTGAGGGGACAGCAAATTTACACTGTTATACAGGCTGTACACTTACTACTATGCGCTGTAGCAGAGTGTCATTTCTTCAGTGTTGTCACATGAAAAGATATAATAAAATATTTACAAAAATGTGAGGGGTGTACTCACTTTTGTGAGATACTGTGTGTATATATATATGCACACACACTCCTTTTCCTACTACTACTGCAACACAAGCTCTCTCCTCTGTTTGTTTCTTCCCCTCCCCCAATCTTTTTTTCCACAACTGTATTCCAGTGCTACTGACTAACCCGTGTGCTCCCTATAAACGGTTGATAAGTGTGTATAGTTTTATAAAACTATCCCTTTCTATCTCATTACAGATTTTGTGATTTAGCTGAAAGCAGCAAGGTGAACTGTTAGTGTAGGACTCACTTAAGAGGTTTTGCCTTGGGCAGGTGAGCTTACACTATAATGGCCATTGGAGTGATACTAAAATACCTCCAGTTATTTAAATGTGCATAGGGATTTGGGATAGTGCACAAATAATCATTTTTTGCTTTTGTTCTTGGGCTGACGTATACTGTAACCATTCCTGCCGCCCAGGAATAGTGGGAGATTGAGCACAGAGCTTTAATTAGTGCATTTGTATTTGCTTTTGTACCTACCACTAACATCACACAAATACCCAACTCTGTTTACTTTTCCACCTCTTTCTTTTTTCACAGTATTCCTATATCCCTGTCTCACCCTAAAGTGATGATAGAATTACACAAGAGGAAATAGGCGATCCGGTACCTGCTGCTGTTGTCAATACTGTTTTAAATGTTGCTCATGAATCATAATAATTCCTGATGACAGAAGTAATTCAAGACAATCTGTTAGGTAGAACATTTAGCCCAAATGTAATTAGAAATAAAACAATTCTGGAATTGTCTAGTCAGAATTCTTAGGCTTTGAGGATTATCTTTCATAAAAACAAAATCAAACTAAATAAACAGGTTTTTTCACAAAGCCTCTGTTGTTGGGTGTCTGTGTCAAACCCAGCAGTCTTACTGGGGAGTTTCCGTATGTAAGCTAACAAGTACCACACAATCAATGCCACAGACATAGAAATATTATTCTTTATTAAGAGACACAATCATATAAATAACTAACCTACTCATCTATTACTTTGTTTCCTACCTTACATGAAGCACATTTAAAGGACCAATCCAACCACCTTAACCACTACAGCTTGTTTTAGTGCCATGGTGCCTTCCCCCTGGAAAGTAGTCAAAAAATAGTCAAATTGTTATTGAACATTTTACTTCTTACTTGGAGTCAGTCAGGGGCTATTCTTCGCCTCTACTACTTACGTGGGAGAATCAGAAGTTCCTAAGCAGGTATTTCCTTTAGCTTTTATTACCTAACCCCTGCTCTCATTGAGTGAGAACATATGAACTTCCGATTCTCTAAGGTTAGTAGGGAGAATGTAGACAATACCCAGCAGACCCCATTTAAGGAGTTAAACTATTCTAAAATTCTAATTACGTGTCTGTTAGTCCACCCATTGCACAGCGTTATGGAATTTGCTTGCGCTACATAAATAATAAAATAACAATAATAATACAATGGGGGAAGGGGTTTTCTGGTTATTCCTGGCACTATAACCACCACAGAGATCTGTTGTTACTTTGGTATTTGGAGTGTTCCATTAGCATATGTAAGTATGTGTTAGCACGATTCAGCTATATTAAAACCAGTTATTGCCACTAGTATTATATGAATTGCATCCTTCGTCTGTACGAATCTCCGGCCGAAGCTTATGCCACAAAATTTGTACCGTGTTCCATATTTGTGTTGCTAGTAAATGGAAACAACAGATTGCAGACTGGTCACCATAGAAGTGATATTTAAACTCTACTTCACTCAGGATTTGACATCTGATCCCAGATTGTGGGCACTCTTCAGCTTAACTCATAATTGACTCATCACTGGCCATTCTCTTTTTCTAACCCCACTCTATCTTTTTTTCTTTCATTATTTTAGTTTAGTTTTTATTTTATTTATTTAGTTTTTTTTTCTATAATTCTTGCCATTCTATACTGTTTTGTTTCATTTCTAGTTTACTTTATCTATTGTACATACTGCATTATGCCCTGTTTATTAACAGTATAATTGTGTGTATGTGGTTTGTTGATTTTCTTGTGTCATTATTTTGTCTTTAGTTCTCTGGTACTTTTTAAAGGCACACCATTTTTTTTATTTTTTTTGGTGTGTGGCTATTTTGTTATAATAAAAAAAACAAAGACTAAGGGTGTGCAACCCTGCATTAAGTGATCCTGTGAAAGCTAGACTATTTTTTTAGACCTTAGTTTATTTTTGGTATGTTGCTGTAATATGACTGTCATATGTACCGTCCACTGTTTCTCAATAAAAATATTAGAGGAACAGAAATAAATTGCAAACAATCCCACCCTTTTACTCATGAGAACATTTCAGATAATAAAAAAGGTTTAGGCACTCCCATTGCTATAGTTATTTGTTTTTACAGTTTAAACCAAACAAATAGGGAGAAATAATTGTGATCTGAGATTAGCACATGATCATTTTTCAACATGGGTTTATGAAATCAACCATGGGACCTGTATTGTGAGGTCACATAGATTTGGTGGATTAAAAACCCATGGGTGTATTAATGTGTGTAGCTGGGACAGGAAACGTTCGAGTCAAAATAACAGTGAAATTTACTATCAATTTAACACAGTAAATTCCATTACATTATGTGTCTGATATTTGTATTTTAAGATACTAGTCATATAGAGATAAACATGATACTGATTTTACAATCCATTTATGATCATTATACTTACCAGCAGCGCTGTACCTAGCGCGAGGCTGGCAAGGCCTTTGCCTTGCCAGCCTTTTGTCCTGGGGTGCCCAGGAGATGGCTGCTGGCCACCTCAGGCCCCCCCCGTGAGGCTGGTATCTCCTGATGTTGAGGGTGGGGAGGGAGTGCTGAACGGTGCGCAAGGGAGCTGAGCAGGAGGATCAGAGCTCCCTCGCTGCCCGCCTCTACTCTGCTCCTGCCTGCCCGACCACCCAAGTCTGCCAGCCCAGCCAGCAGCCGCTCCACTGGACTCCAGGGAAGAATCCACTCCAAAGGTAGGATGGATTGAACTTGATTTTTTATTTTATTTTAAATTGTTAATGAGTGTGTGTGTGTGTATCTGTAATTGAGTGTGTTAGTATGTGTCTGTTAGCGAGTGTTAGTTTGTGTGTGTCTGTTAGTGAGTGTGTGTCTGTCTGTTAGTAAGTGTTTGTGTGTATCTGCAATTGAGTGTGTTAGTGTGTGTCTTTTAGTGAGTGTTAGTGTTTGTGTGTGTGTTAGTGAGTGTTAGTGTGTGTCTTTTAGTGAGAGTTAGTGTGTGTGTGTGTGTGACTGTTAGTAAGGGTGTGTGTGTGTTAGTGAGTGTGTCTTTCACTAAGAGTGTATATGTGTGAGAGTGTATATGTGTGCGTCATTGAGTGTGTATGTGTGTTTGTCAGTGAGAGTTTGTCAGTGAGTGTGTATGTGTGTGTATCTGTCACTGAGAGTGTGTGTCTGTCAGTGAATGTGTATGTCTGTCAGTGTGTGTCTATCAGCTATTGTATGTATGTCTGAGTGAGTGTGTGTGCATTTTTGTCAGTGAGTGTGCATGTGTGCCTTGTCAGTGAGTGTGTATGTGTCTGGCATTTAGAGTATATGTGTGTCTGTCGGTGAATGTGAGTGTGTGTAACTGTGAACGAGTGTGTATGTCTGTGAATGTGTATGTTTCAGTGAAAGTGTGTGCTGGTTAAACAGTGTGTGTGACAATTTTTAATTTAAACAGTTCCAATTTTTCCAAGACCTTTCTTCAGCTACATTAATGAAAAGAGGGAAATTTCAAAATTTTACTAGCGAAATCCAAAATATTTCTTTTTATATAGATGGGGATTCCCAGTTAAAGCAATATTTTGACATAATATTAACCCCTTAAGGACCAAACTTCTGGAATAAAAGGGAATCATGACATGTCACATGTCATGTGTCCTTAAGGGGTTAAAATTACCAAGCCAGAAGAAGTCTAAATCAGGCAGTTCAGGAGAACCAGGAGGAACCGCAGAAACCTAAGAGGAAATCGCACAGGAGAGAGATTCCAGGGAATGAACTTTGCAATTTATCTGTCACAACTTTACAAATTTTTCATCTTCAAAAATAAGCTTTATTCTAGCATTCATAGTTGAGAACGTTCTAACTAAGTTTCTCTAAGTACTTTCTCTTTATATATTCTAACTTTTATAGTAGAGAATTCTCTCACTAAACTGGAATATTTTGTTTGTTATGCGGTGCTTAAGATTAGAGTTGAGCGAACCTGGACTGTAAAGTTCGGGTTTGTACCGAACATTACGTTTTTTGGACCCCGGACCCGAATCACTGTATGTTCGGGTTGGAGTTCAGTGTTCGGCGATTTAATGGCACGTTTTCAAAGGCTGCAGGGCAACCAATCAACAAGCGTTTGACCCATGTGCCCTTAGAAGCCATCACAGCCATGCCTACTAATGGCATGGCTGTGATTGGCCAGTGCAGCATGTGACCCAGCCTCTATA